GGGTGGGTGAGGCGGCGCGTCCGCCTCTAACCCGGACACCCAGGGTCCAAATCTTTCCAAGCTCCCAGGGTGCTAGGTAGAGGCATTACCTGCACATGGGCCTCAGCACCGCTAGCAGCCCCTCAGTGCAGGCACAGAGCCCGATCCAGCCTGGCCACGTGCTGCAGGGCAGCACTCTTCTGCCCTCTCTTGAGGAAGAGGCATTAAAGGGCAGAACAGGGCCAGAACTGGGCTTCCTTTTGTTCATTCTCCTCCCTGGTTTCCCCTCCCTCCTACAGACAAGCAGGGACCACGCTCCCTGATCTCTCCTCTCTTGTATGGAAGCGCAAATTGGAAGTGCAGGCCGCTCTATTCGGCTACCAAGCTCTCCCCCCACCTCCCAGCCTGCCCAGGGAGCGGGACCTGGGGTTTCAAAAGGGCAGTGAGGTGTGCAGGCAGATAAATTAAACCCCAACCAGCACACAAGGCTTCCTGCCCTCTCCTTGCATGAGATCTTACTAGCCACATACCTTGCAAGCTGGCCATGGGTCAGCTGACTCCGCTCTTCTCCCCCCACTCCAACCCCAGCCCTGCCAACGCCTGCTCCCCTCCCCAGTGCTTGCATGTAATCCAAAGAGTGAGCAGGATACTCACCCTCACTCTCGTTTCAGGCCAAGTCTAATCTTCCCCAGCTCCTGCCATCTCACACTGAGCTCTAGCGCCTGAGCTTGCTCATTACTCCAGTGGTATATTATTAGAGTTAGATTTGATTAACGCCTGGGCTGCCTGTTTCCTGGGGTTTCCCCCCACATGCTTTCTACGCAAATTAACCTGACATGAATGATCGAGTTGACTCCGGCGGGGTATCCCTGGGCAGATGGGCAGGGAGCCACAAAACCCCTGGAGGTGAACTCGCCAGGAAGAGAGCGACGGCCCCAGCCACGGCTTCCTCAGTGGAATTCTGCCACGAGGCGCCTTTCTCACACGGGCTTGGTGGGATGGCAGAGTTGCTCGTGCACAGGACACGGCTCAACTGAACGAGCAGGGGAGTTGTGCAGGAGGCGCATCACGCTACCCTGCCCTCTCTGTGGGTGTCTGCCCATGCTCTGTCCCCCCCGCCCAGCTCAGAAGCCAGACGTGCAACATGCCAATCAAATAAAAGGGATTTTTCACCAACAAGGGTGAAAATGGCGGGGGGAGGGAGGGAGCTTTCTTCCCCATATTGCAAGGACAAACTCTCAGACTACAATTACTGAAGACTAGCTCATCTTTAAAAGACAGCAAAAGAGGGAGGGTCTCGCTATCTAAGGCACAGGTGGGGGCTGTAATCCAGTGCAGTGAATCGGTACCTGAAACCTTGTGAGTGGTCGGAATTTTTCTCTACAATCCCCTGTATTTGCTGCCTCTGCAGGCACCAGATTTTCCAGTGCTCTGTGCTCCTCCATTGCAGCCATAACTGTTATACAGCGTAAGGCCAGAGGGGAGCATCAACTCTTCAATCCGACCACCTGGATAACACCAGCCGCCTGTATCACCTGGTAAGAGCCAAAATTCAGCCCAAGTCCTCCAGCTGGCAGGAGTCTAGACTATTATATGCCACAAGCAGAGACTAGAAGGGATCAAATTCCCTGCAATGGCAGGGAAATGATTAAGTGAGAGAGATGCAGCTAAGCCTGGCAAATGCCCCATACAAAAAAACCCCGAAGTTCAAGGCCAATATGAGCTGGGGGAAATTCCTGCCTGACTCCACAGATGGCAACCTGAGGGTGTGAGCAAAAACTAGTCAGCCAAGCAACGGGGACAAAATCCTCAGGGCCACCTCAAAGCCCCGGCTTTCTCCACACAAAGACCCATCTCCAGTCATGGCCAGTCCTGACTGCAGAGGGAAAAGGTCCAATGAAACTGAATAGGTTGGGAAGAATTCCGCCCTGATCCTCATACGCTGTACTGTGAAAACCCCACTACCTAGTGTTGGTCAGAGAGGGCCGACATAAAGTGGTATTTATACCGGCCAACCCTTGCACCTGGTCTGTTGTGCTACCACTGCTGTAACTCCAAGCTGCTTTGCACTGTAGCAAAGTGTGGACAACTTTTGGCCGGAAAATAACTAGGCCCTTGTATAAATACCCTCTAAGGCTCAGCATTAAGCCCTCGCTGGGTTACAGTCTGTATCTAGCATGACACCTGAACTGATGGAACGTCCCAGAATGCCATGGGCCTTATGTTGAACATGGGCTGAATTTTGGAGGAAAACCACAATGACAGTTCTTCTTTGAGTATCACAGGGGTAGCCGTGTTAGTCTGGATCTGCAAAAGTGACAAGGAGTCCTGTGGCACCTTATAGACTAACAGACGTATTGGAGCATGAGCTTTCGTGGGCAAAGACCCACTTTGTCA